CTGTGCAGAACCCTCAAACTCCCAGGCCTCTGGTAGAGGACCCGAGATTGAGGAAGACACAGACCACCCATAGGAGTGAGAAGGGATGAATGGACGGATACAGACACACAAACACACACAGAGTATACTGGTTCTTAGTTGTAAGCTACCCAAAGTCATTTGGGAATCAGACGGCCTACAAATTAAATAAATGAATAAATAAAATGAATAAACAATACAAGAGACTGCTGAACAACTAGCAACGTTACATTATAGTTAGTACAGAAAGAGAAACAACGAAACTCTTCTACAATTGACCAGCCATTCTGTCTGGCAACAGACGTTCCAGTATTGCGCAAAGCGGCTGCTTACGTCACATAACGCGACTGTTGAGGCGAGGTGATTCTTTTCCCCCCTCTGGAAAAGCCAAAGAGAAGCCATAACTTCCGGGTACCCGCCGATGACGTTTTGTTTGAGAAGCATGGAATGAGGGTGGAGAGCCAGAGGGAGCGGCTGCGGAGGGAAGGCGTGTCTTTTTGCCAGATGGAGCCGCTGCTGAATGGAATCCTAGGCGGAGCTTAGGGAATTGAGAGGCGTGGCCTTGTGAAGGCATGTGCTGCGGCGGGGGCAGCAGTGTTTCTTTCATTTTGCTTTCGTAACGTGCGTTCCTTCCAAGCGGGCCCGTCGGACGGAGGTGGGATGCGGCTGCTTCGAGGAGGGTGGACTAGTCTGTTCGGGGCTTTCTCAGGCTTCCCTTCGGGGGACGTGTTGGAAGTCGCTGGCCTTGCAACCTGTGGGACGGCTCTGGAGGGGCGGAGGTGCAGGAAGCGGGTGGGAGAGGGGTTCCCACAGCGCCTGGCTAAATAGCCCGGGGAGAGGCGCCTGCAGTGTGTTCTGTGCTCTCTTAAGGACGAAGCCAGTGCCGAGGTTTTTCAAATACATTTTTGAAGGGAGCGTTGGCTGACTTGAGCTGGTTCCCTCTCCGCTGGCGAAATGCCGCAAGCGCCGCGCTGGCCAATCCTTCTCTCCCCCATCGGCGAGGGATGAGTTGCGCCTGGAGTTTGCACAGTTTCTTCGTGAGCTGGCAAAGGGCGGGATCTAAGCTTGGCTTGGCTGGGGCTTCGCCGCTCTTTCGCTTCCTCTAGCACCATAGATAGACCGGCCGCTTCTACTTTTTCCCTCTCCCACCCTCCCCTCTACAATATAGCGACAAAAGTAGATCTTAAAGCGGCTTTCCCCAGCCTGGTGCTCCCCGGATGCGTTGGACTACATCTCCCATATTCCCCAGGGCACCAGGCTGTGAAGGCAGGACGATGAGGCTGGGAGAAAAGCATAATCCCAACCATTGGCGTTATCGCCTGGAGCTGCTTAGGTGTTCTCACATCTCTCCTCAGGTGTGTCACCGCAACTCTAAAAGTAGCATCTTAAATCACAGTTCTGCCTGTTCCTGACGGGATGCTGTTTTATCAAACTGCTGCTTTGATACTATTGTTATTTTTTCTTCTTCCCCCTGGAATCGTTGGTTAAATACAATGTCAATAATAGTACATAGGGAGACGGGGGGGGGGGGGGTTAATTTAAAAAAA